TCGTATGTGTTGGCAACTGGCAGCCTCTCTCTCTCTCTCTCTCCCTCGTTTTACTCTCTGTAGCCAGCTAGGCTGAATGCTACTTTACCAGAACGTACGTTCCTGCCGGGTTTGCCGCTGCCGCCGATGAGTTTGTCGCCTTACCGTAATCGTTCCTGCAGCGGTGGCAGCAGCAGTGGCAGAGTCCGCAGTGCCAGAAGTGCCAGCACCAGCACCAGAAGCAGCAACCAAAAAGCAAACCAAATTGCAGAAGCTACCACTGCTAAGCTGTAGCAGTGTCCACGGCACAAGACGATACAGCAGCAGCAGCAGCGGAGACGGCGGCGGAGACGGCGGCGACAGCAGCGGCGGCGGCACTTAACTTTATTTTCTGCCCAGCACCTCCTCCTCCTTCTACTTAGGCATTGACCAGAACGGCATTGAACCCATCACCTTCCTCTCCTCTACCCCCTCACCACCACCATCGCCACCACCACCATCGTCACCCCTAGTTGAGTACGCCCCCAACTGACAGAGTTAGTGAGGATGAGGATGAAGATGATGGTAAAAAGTGAAAAGACTACTAAGTAAATCTCGACTAAGTGATATGTCGAAGGTGAGCCGCTGTCGGCGGAAATCCTCACAAGCGAACACTGTCGCCTGAACTCGCCGTCATCTGTGCAAAGGGTGAGTGTCAGCAGTTCCCCCTGCCGCCACCGCCTAGATGTACCCCCGCAAGTGAACAAGTACCAGCGCCGGTGCTTGCAGTGCCAGCAAAGATGTACTGACAACCTTTCAAATCACAGGTATGCACCACACTTCCTTTTTATTCTCTTACTGCTATTTCTGTCTTTCATTTCCATTAGTATCTAAAATTGTTTATATGTGTTTGCTATTTTTAATTAGTAGAAAGTATCTTTGCCCAAATGTTACAAATGGGGGGCTTATTCAAAGTTATTAGTTAAACAAACAGAAGCTTTTTATATGCCATATTTTGTGGGCAAAAAATCAATGATCACATCAATGATATTCTGGTAACACAGTTTTTGTGTGTCATCACTAATCCCTCCTCTGCATTTTCATTCTCCGGACAAGTTTTTTTCTATTAAAACTGTTTAATTTGTTTGCATTGCCTGATTAGTATTTGTTTAGATTACCAGACAACATCAGTAGCTTTTAGCTCTTTGTAAGGGCGCTCACCGGCGCACACATTTGACTGCCTAGGCAAGCTGTGTAGGTTGCCAGACGCGGCGCTTCTGTATTCCGGCGGCATAATCAGTTCCAAAAAAAGGAGAAAGGCAAAAGGGAAGACGGAGCGCAGACACAACATCAGGGGCAATAAATTAAACACTCTCCTACTGACGCAGATCAAATGTCAACACCGTGTGATGGTGTTAATTGAAAGAAATGCAAATTATCACTCTCTCAAAGGTCAGTTCATGAAAGGAGTCAAAGATTTTAGCATAATACCTCAATAAAATTATTCGATTATAGCTTATGTTTTTTTAAACATAGACGCAACAGCATATTTCTAAGTTTAACAGTTCGTTATTTTTAATAATACGCACAGTTTGCTAAACTAGTTTGACCATTGATTTGTTATGTCAATGGTCAATCTTTTAATGCGAGTAAAAACGATTTTAACAACAAATAGCAACCACATCTTTTAAATGACTAAAAATTTTAAGTTTTATAAAAAGTTAACATAAAGAAACTTTTTTTCCTATATAGATGTAACCGAAAGTACAAATATTACCCTACAAATTTTTAATAATAAGCCAAGCAAATAAACAAAAGCATTTATTTCAGTTTAATACTGACAACATTGCAATATTTAAAATTGAATATCAAAGAAAATATATGTTTTCACAATCAAAACTTTATTTTTTTGTTTATTTGCTCATATGTTCTGGTCATCAATACAATCTATATTTTTCATCAAAAACTTAATCATTTGATTTTAAAATTTTCAAGTAGTCTGAGAGCTAATTTTACTTGTTAATATAAAAACAACATCCAACCCAAATGGCTGATAATGATCTGCACACGCCGGAAGCTTGGCAAAGTCCCCAACTCCGGCAGAGTATTCAGATGAAAATTCAAGAAACCATAAACAACTATGGCGTCTCAACAAATAAGTCACCCGTCGAGCTGGAGCGAAGTGTCTTTCAGAAGGCAATCAGCAAGGAGCAGTATCTCTCCTTTGTTGCCCGGTTAATCATACACCTCAAAAACAATGGCAGGCCCACCCCTGGTCAGGTGGTTAACAGGCAGTTGGGGCAGTTTCAAGGGTCACATCAGCAGCTGATGGCCATGATGAACTCGGGAACGATGAGCTTGCAACAGCAACAGCAGATGCAAAATATGCTGCAACAACAACAGCAGCAACAGCAGCAACAACAGCAGCAGCAACAGCATCAACAACAGCATCAGCACCAGCACCAGCACCAGCAGCAACAGCAGCAAATGCATCCAAATCAGTTGAGTGCAATGCAGCAACAGCAAATGAAAAACGAGCTTGGTGGCGTCCAGGGAATGTCAATGCAGCAGCAGCAACAACAGCAGATGATGCAGTCTAATCTGAACAATGGTCTAGGGCCAATGGGAGGCATGATGAACAGTGCTGGGCCTAGCAAGATGAACACTATGATGTTGAATGCCGGTACAGGGCATCAGCTGACCAATGAGCAGATGGCCAACATGATTGCCATGCAAAAGGCTAAACAACAACAGCAACAACAACAACAGCAACAATTGCAACAGCAGCAGCAACATCATCATCATCAACAGCAGCAGCAGCAGCAGATGAACAGCCATATGGGCACCTCTAATCAGCTAAACCTGGTCAACTCCCCCAACTTCAACTCAAGCATGAATATGGGCAACAGTGCTAATCTGGTCGGTCTGAATGCTAATCAGCTGGGCAGCATCGGCGGCAATGCTGGCGGAATGACAAGCGTTCAGGCGGGCACGGCCTCGGCGACTGCCATCACCAGCATACTGAACTCAAACATGAAGCCAAAGATGGCCACGCAAGGCAACATGATGGCAGCAGGTGGTGGTGGTGGGAGTGGTAGTGGTGGTTCAGTGGGACCGATGAACATCGGGGTTGGTGGTGGGCACTCGATGAACATGCCGCAGAATGCGGCACAACAGTTGGCGGCACAGGGCGCCATGGGCTCAGTGGGTGGGCAGCAGTCGCTTTCACTGCAACAGCAAATTGCACAACAACAACAGCAACAACAACATCAGCAGCAGCAGCAGCAACAACAACACAGCCGTACGATGCAGCCCAGCTCAGCGAACCTCGGTGGCAGTGGTCATGGTGGCGGAGGAGGAGCAGGTGCCGCCGGTCTCATTCCCAATGCTCGAATGCTGATGAGCCAGAGTGGTCTTCGCCAGCAGAACCCCAATCAGATGAACATGTCGCAGCAGGGGCTGCAAACGCAACTTCGTTTGCGACAAATGGCGCCAAACTCACTACAACAGCAGCAGCAGCAGCAGCAAATGAACGCTTTGCAACAGCAACAGCAACAGCAACAACAACACCAACATCAGCACCAGCACCCAACTCACCAGCATCAGCAGCAATCAGGCCCTTCAGGTGGGGTCAATATTTACCTTCAGCAGCAGCAGCAGCAACAGCAGCAATCTCATCACCAGCCGCATCATATTGGCTCTCAAAGCCAAGGTGGTGGCAGCGTGCAAAACACCGCCGAAACAAAGTTCTTCGAGATGGGAGGCATCAATCAGAGTGGCGGAGCACGCATCACCCCGGTCACTGTCTCACAGGTGCAGCTGCGACCCGGACTGATGAACAGCATTTCAGGAGGAGGAGGAGGAAGTGGTGGCGGCGGTGGTTCGGGCACTGGAATAATGGGGAACACCTTTGGGGCAAACAGTTTCACCGGCCACAACAGCAGCGGACCAAACAACAACAACAACGGCGGTGGCGGCGGCGGACTGAACTCACTGTCCACTAATGCCCCGCAGATTGTCGTCACTGGCGCCGCAATGAGCGGAGCGCCTGGATCGATGGCGTCTGGTAGTGCTGCTGGTGGCGGTCTGGGCATGCCAACCAGCCATCTGTCCGCACAGCAGGCAAACAGTGGAACTCTGATGGCGCCACTGCTGGGCCCTGGTGGACAACAGCAAACAGGTGCTTCCTCCTCTTCTCCCTCTCCCTCTTCTTCCTCTTCAGCTCTCAGCAGTAGTGTCGGTGGCCATTTGCAGTCAAACAAAATCGGCAGCACCTCCTCCGGGGTGGGCAGTATTGGCCTGCAAGGTCAGATGACCATTTCACAGCATGGTGGCAACTTGCAGCAGCAGCAGCAGATGCACCAGTCGATGAACAGTGGCAGTAAACAACAACAACAACAACATCATCATCATCATCACCATCAGCAGCAACAACAACAGCAACTCTCCTCAATGCACAGCTCCGCCTCAATGATGGGCAACAGCGGTGGACAGTTGAACAGCCTAAACAGCGTTCACCACTCTCCCTCAAACTTCCATAGCAACATCAACAGTCCCGCCTCGGTGCAGAGCATTCCGATGATGTCGCCGGCAGGAAGGGCCACCACTCTGGGCGCCCCCTCACCGCAGAGCTCACTGAACACCCCGGCCTCACCGGGACAGGCGCTAACACCCGGCACCGCCCAGCAGAAGGTCGGTGAACTGCCGGTGAAGATGGACTCTGAACGGTTGTACAATGAAAAGCTGGCTGCCATGCAGAAGTTCCTCTCGCCGCTGATGGAGCTCATTACGCAGCTGGAGAAGGACGACCGAAAGGCGAAGGAGCTGGATCGCCTGCAGAATCTCTACTCCATTCTCATCAACCGACGCCGGGTGACGCTGGACTTTCTGGAGAAGTGCGAAAATGCCCTGGAGAAGATGGACCGCGACCAGATGTTCAAGGTGCGCACTCGGACCGGTCATCACCACGGCATGATGGAAGGGGGTGGTGGAGGTGGTAGTGGGGTGGGGCCATCGAACACAACGGCAGGACCATCGCATTTACATGGGCAGCAGCAGCAACAATCATCAGCACTGCCACCGCCCCCACCACCGCCCCCTCCACCAGCACCGCCTTCTCTGCCACCGCCCTCTCTTCCGCCTCCTTCACTGCAACCTCCATCGTTGCCTCCTCCCTCGCAGCAGTCTCTGCACTCTGTTCACCAGCATGGACACGGCCTATATTCGACGTCGCATGGCAACCATGCAGGTCACGGTCTGTCACAGTCGCACAGTGCACAGCACCTGCCACCACCACCACCACCACAGTTGGCACAGCAACACCACCACCCGTCACTGGGACAGCTGCACGGCATCCACCCTCATCTTCCTCCTCCTCCTCACCACCACCTTCATCACCCCCATCACCCCCACCAGCAGCACTCTCATCCTCATTCTCACCCTCACCCTCACCCTCACTTACACCACCAGTCGCAGATAGCCCATCCGCCGCACCCGCCACCGAGCATCAGTTTGGTGTCAGTGTCAGGATTGGGCGCAGGGGCGTCGGCCTCAACCGGAACTGGCTCGGCGGTGACCTCAACCACTACCACCACGACCACCACCACGACAACATCGTCCGCCCTCACGACGACCAGCACCAGCACCAGCATCGGAAGTGCCGTCAGTGGCGCAACCCCCCAGTCGGCCACCAGTCGCGTGCAAGAGCTGTGCAGCCGCCTGCTGAGCGCCGTGGAGAAGAACTTCGACAAGCCGATGTTCTCGCACACCATGAGCCGCTCCTTCGGGCCGACGCTGTCGGTGCTGCAGCACGAGTCCTACTCGACGCGTAATCGAGTGAACGTCTCCTCCAGTCACTTCCACTACGCCAACAGCGAGCCGACGAAGCGGAAGGCCCGCGAGACGCCCTCCTCCTTTGCCATTCGCAATCAGGTGCTGGAGGGGGAGATCGCCCGACTAGACGCCCGCTTCGTGGTGCGCCCGCTGATGGCCAGCAAGCGCTTCTGCGGCACCAGCAAGACGCACATGCTGCTCTGTCGCCTGGAGGACCTTTCACTGCCTTGTGTGCCCCCCATCAAGGTGTACATTGGCGACAGCTACCCCACAACGGCGCCCTTCTACGACATTGAGCAGGAGGACTACCAGGCGACGCCCTTCTTCCTCAAGCTCTACGACTACTTTGCCGGCAATCTGATGAGCATGACGGGCACGTACACGCTCACCCAGCTGCTGCTCACCTGGGAGCGCAGCATCCGGCAGGCCATCCTCCGCCACCGAGACCGCCTCGGATCATCAGCAGCAGATGAGCAGAAGGCTAGTGAGCTAGGCCTGGTGCCAACTGTAGAGGCAAACAACAAGGAAAACCTCATCAAGGCGACGACGACGTCTTCCTCCTCCGCATCATCTGCGGTTACCACCACCACCACTACCACCACCACCTCCATCGCCTCTTCTTCTTCCTCTTCCTCTTCCACTACCACCTCCATCTCCTCTTCCTCTATTTCTTCTCTGACTTCAATTTATTCCTCCTCTTCTTCCTCTTTTTCCACTACTACAACTACAGCCACCCCTACAACAATGGCAAATTCAAAAGTTGCCAAAGTTGTACGGCCTGTTCATGTTTAGAGCTTTATGGTCTTTCGTTTTCAATTCAGTAAGTATTGTTTGCGAAACAGCCTATTTACACTTTAGTGTTGCTATTTCTAATGTTTTGTTTTGAATTTATTTTACTTTTAGCTCATATACTCATCAAGTGCAATAGCAATACATTTGGTCAACAACAACAACAACAACTGCTGCTGCTGCTAAGGTTACTACTGATGGAATGCCTAATGCCAACGTGTGATTAGTTTCATGTTAACTAAAACAATATTCTCAATTTTTTCAATTATCTGTGCAATCTTTTTCATTCACTGCAATATACAAATAAGTACAAAACACTGATCAAGTTTGCCTTTTACCTTTCTTTTTCTACTCAATCCAATACTTAGCCGCTGTTTTCCCCTTTACCAAATCTTACTTTTTTGTCCACCTTTTTTCCACTTTTTTACACTTGTGTCACAACTTATGGTGTCTATCAAGCCTTTCAACTCTAATTTTTTTATTTATTTTCTGTTTGCCTTTCTTTTGAATGGTGTTTCTGACTGTGCATCTAAATCTGTCTTTCTCTATCTGTCAATCAACCACTTACACTTTTGGTCAACACCAAAAAATAAGGTCACTGCAATAATTGTTTTAGTCCAATTGGTTACTGTTATTAGTTTTACAAACTCTATTGGTTATATCTGAACTGAAAGCAGTTATTACATTTACTTACTTATTTATCTATTTATTTGTCATTTAGCTAGACGATTTACAGTTTGTTTTATCTGTTTATTTTTTTAAAATCTCAAATGTTTTTTACATTTCTTGAACAATATTGGTTTTTCTGAAATAATTCTTGTCACTTTACATCAGTAGCATTGCTGTTTACTGATTTACCGTCATAGACGGCAACAATAGCATAAATATACATTGTTGACATTGCATGCTCAGCCTTTTAGCTCAAACCTTGTAACTCATTCTTAAGACTACTACAAATTTAACATATTTTTAAAACATAATTTTTGTAAATTATTTTTAGATATTGTGTGTACAAAATTATATGTACAAATTAATGTATTTACAAACATTTGAAAGTACAACAATAACAAAGTACAATAACACTTTTTACAATATTTTGTACACTACATTTTTTGAGTGTGCATTTTCAAGTATAAACATTACGTACTTGTTAATGATGAGATCTACCTAAATTCATCTACGCAAATAAACCAAATTTTTCATTTAGTATACGTTAATAAAAAATTGCCCAATCAGTTGATTATCTCTACGCCACCATTTTTAAGGGAAAATCAACCTACGATAAACGCTGGTCAATCAATATAAAAATTTTCAAAAAAGTGTTTTAAAATAAAAATATACATATTTTGTCGTTTTTTGTATAACTTTTTGGATGTCAGAAAGTCTGATTTTAAAATTGGCGTTTTCTATATGTTTTATTAGTTAAAGCAAATTTAAACACTGTTGTTTTTTAAGTTTGTTAGATAAACACTTATTCATTTTGTGTTAGATTAGGTTAACGGTAAAGAGTGTTATCAAATAGTAGACAAATAATATTTATTCGTACAATTGAACGAAATAATAATATACAACATTTTTGTGTCGTTTTTAATTGTAATTATAATTAGACGAAACATTCTACTTGACAATAAATTTATATTTAAAATTTAAGAGAAATTTAACATAATTAGTTTGGAGTATCAATCAATAAATTCTTGTATAAAAAAATGTTAGCATTTTAAGTATTGTTTTTTAAAACTTTAGTAAACTTCATTCTATTTCAAACTTTTTAAAAAATATTTTAAGTTTTTTTCGTTTTAAAATAAAAATATTGACAATGCTTTTCTTTTTAAAGTTTAAGCATTGCTTTTACCTAATGTCCGATGAGCTGTTCAACGCCCAAACTAAACCTACTAGGGCAGGCTTTTATCAGTACTTTGAAATTGTCGTTTTTTTATGCTTTTCTTTCCGTTTGTTTTTCATTATCTACCTTCTTCACGCTGACTATCCTGACTGGTACGACTTTCGCCGGTGCGACATGATGGTTCACTTTATTTACAGTTATTCGGGACAGCTTGACTACGTCATTTTCATTCTCGCCTACCTCTTCTACCTAATTTACTTTCTTTTTGAGTGGTGGTGTTTCCATTTGACTGTATGTGGGCGAGAATGGAGAACTTGGCACCAGTTGACTGTGATGAGTTTAAATCAGTACGTTCAATGTCGGCTTAACGAAAGTAGATTGCAGCAAATAAAAACACTGAAAAAAACTAAATATGAAGAAAGGTTAAATCAATTTCATCTTCCGACTGGACTGGTTAAGGGCGCTGCTAGCGTGTTGGCCTCAGCAGAAATAGCCACTAAAATGGAAGATGTAGATAGAAAGGCATTGATGGAGCTACCACTGCCGCTGATGCCCTGTCTCTCGTGGAAGGTGCGCTCTAAAGCCCTGCGTCTGATGCTGTTTACCGAATACCTGGCTTACCCATTGCAATTGACCATAGGTAGCCTAATATTAATTTTATTTAGTTTAAACTTAACATACTTGATTGTTTTTCTCTTTACCTAGTTGCTTTAGTTGTGCTGATATACGCTGCTTTTGCCATCACCCATCCCGGCTGGTCTAGCCATACTTGGCTTTCAATTGTTTACGCTGCATTTGAAGCTCTATTTCCGATAATCATGATTGTCCTGCTTATACGTTACTTTATTTTTCTCATTACAGTGGCTATCCTTGGAACAGTGATTTTCACCAGTCATCTTATTGAGTGGAAGAACAAAGTAGAAGCGTTTCTGCAAAAACAAACTCAAAAACTGCAAACGCCGATTAACTTTTCACTTGGTGGACGTTCTCTGATGGAGTGTTTTTTGCGGGAACATAACTTGATTGCACTTGAAGTAATTGATTGCAGTGGGCAGCTTTGGGGCAAAATTATTTTTGCCACTATTTGCACGCAAATTCCCATCAATATTATTTTTGTTAAAAAGCTGCTTGTCGCTTCTTTATCTAGTGAAAACGAGGGTGATGTGTCATCTCCATTGCTGCATCTTATCTACATTTGTGTTTTTGTTTTTCAAGTATTTATCTTTGCTGTCATTTTTGTGCCTCTGGGCTGGTGTCAGAAAGTTTATCATTCTCCAAAACGGTTCATTCCTCGCTTTTTGCTACTTTCCACCGGAAACGGTGCCAGATGCTGGCGGTTGCGACTAAAGTATGACGATCTTTACGGACGGCTTATGCGGGGGCCAAAAATTGCTCTAAACGTAGGAGAACTCCACGACATTACTTACATGACAGCGGCTGAGGTAACGTGTTTAAAAAAATTGTTTTGTTTTGAAATATTTTTATTGAAAAATAACAATTTGTGAATTTTTTTAGTTGCTTCTTTCATACGTTGCCTATGTTCTAATGGTAATGTCGCCAGTTGATTAGTTTTAGTAAATGTTTATAAAAAATAAATAAAAACTTTCAATAAATATGTTAGAATTTGCACAAAAAACCCTTTTAGCATCAACTAGGTTAAAAGTGCTGTAGATTTCGTTCACCAATTGTAAAGTAAACAAAAAACAATAAAACGCGGCACAGTTCAATACTTGTTAACAGTTTTCAAAAAGAACAAACAGTAAAAAATTTATTTAGAATTTACAAATAACTCCTTTCAACAGAAAAAAAATCAGTTTGTGTGTGTGTTTTTAATATGCCATGTAAATGCGCGTGTCATTACAGATGTGTGTGTTTGTGTTTGTGTGTATGTGTAACCAGTGATCCCGTCACCAGCCAATCTCCTGTTCTTTTCTTGTTCTTTCTCTGCATTCAAAAAGGAAGCCTTTAAACTGCGCCATGCGATGGTCCTCCGTAAGGCTGCTGATGCTGATGCTGGTGCTGGTGGTGCTGTTGATACTGATGCTGCGTTTGATGCTGTTGAAGTTGATGCTGGTGTTGAAGTTGGCCGGCGGCAGTGTGAGTGGCCCCGTAGGCGGTCATGGGAAAGTTGTTCTGCAGTGAGGCCCCGGAGAGACTGGCCGCCGAGGACTGTCGACTGCGCTGCGACAGTGTGTTGCTGTACATCTGCAGGTAGCCCTGCGCCAGGGAGTTCTGCGAGGAGTGGTGCGACCGCGGCTGAATGGAAGGCGTGATGGCCGACACCGAGGGCAGGTTGCCGGTGCTCTGCGCCAGCGACAACGCCCCTTGAGGGTTTTCCTGGTGGTGATGGTGGTGGCTGTAGATCTGCGGCGAGGGCTGCAGACTGCTGGTGCCGCCCCCGTAGCGGCCGTAGGGATTGGCCGAGTCGAGGCTGTGGTGGGAGAAGGAGCGGGAGGCGTTCAGCGAGGACAACGTCGACATCTTCAGCTTGGCCATGTCCTCCAGGCGGGTGATGTCACTCAGCTCCTGGTAGTTGGAGTACACCACCAGCCACACGAAGACGTTAAGCGTCAGCAGGAGGAACCAGAGGACCAGCATCAGCTGGTGGTACATGAAGTACAGGTCCTGGAGAGAACAGATAACAATTGAGATGACCAGTGTTAACTAATGTGAGCTGCTTACATTGACAATCGATTGAAAGATTAAAATGACCAGGCGGAAGGTGATGAAAATGGCCATAGCTCGTAACCAGTGGCGAAACTTAAGTTCGTGCTCCTTACGTAGAGCATTCATCAGAATGAGTGCAGCCGAGAGAAGGTACAGGGAACAGAGAATGAGAATGATGGCGACGGCGATCAGCGCACGACGAACTGTAAACAACAGAACAATTAATTAAATGTTGCCCATGTTAGAGCAGTTTAACTGTGTGTTTACCGTGTTGATTGCCACTGTACACGAACATAAAGCTAATGCCGAAACTGCGAAAATGTTTTGATCCAGGAGCTGCTTCAATCAGGCAGTAGATATCAAACACTGCCAAACTGATTTGAAGTAAACTTTGCAACTGTAAGGTTAACGAAACAAAAACAAAAGTCAGATTGTTTGAATGAAAATGGTCATTGAGCAATGAAAACAACATATGAACAAGTCTTTTATCAATTAGACAAACTTACAAGTGAGTAGATTGATGCGAGGTAACTGCCCTTCTGCAGGTCAATCAGCCAGGCATTTGGCAGTATTGGACGTCGTTCCCACCATTTGAGCGTCATCTTGCGCGACCCTGCTTGAGTTCGCGATCGAGTCGTCGCTATAGAGGTCGTCGAACGAGCCGTATAGGAAGCAATTGAGCCAGGCATCGTGGATTGGTTTTGGGTTTTGGGGTGCGGTTAATAGGGTGAACGGGTAACTGGAAAATACTGTTAATACTGTCTGTGCGGTAAGCTAATTTACTGTTGACAACAACTAAAGAAGAGAGAATCTGAGTTGAGGTGTCAACATAGAAAAAAAGGTTGAATTCGATAATAAAAACACAACTGTTATTGCTCTCTGATCACTAAATTGAGGTGAAGTGCGTGAAAGCTGCCCAAACTAGCAAGCGCACTGCTTGAACATGCAAATCGAGTGATGAGCAAGTGAATTTGGTGTTTGGTAATGGCTTGTTTGTGTGTGTTTGTCTGTGCGTTAGCAATGCCAATATGAAAGTGAATGCGAAGTTGCTGGGGTGACCGGTGTTTAGGTGTTTCCTGATAAACACACACGATACACAGTTCTGCACGGCAACGACACTAGGTGAAAAGTGAAAGTTTGATGAGTTTGATGGTGGCTGGGCGACTGATGTTGGCGAGAAGATGCACTAACTGCTCGTTTGCAAAGAAGTGTTTATCGACCACTGCTGGTGATGGTGGTGGTGCTGTGACGGTGTTTACGGTGCACTTCAAGTTGAATCAAACACTGATCAACAGTATTCACATTTTAAGTGATGAGTGCCAGTGATGAGGTGAAAGACTGAATACTGAATGGCAAATGAGAAGAAGGTAAAGCGTGAGCCACAGGTTAGCGAAAGTCGTCAAAATGAGGCTTGATGAGATGAAAAGGGAGAGAGAAGGGAGGTCAGAAAAAAGTAAGCAATCAAAAACTGTTGACGAGTTCTGGTTTCAGTGACTCTCTCGTTCTCTTGTTTTTTGTTCTTTCAGTTAGTTAGTGTTGTCTTGGTGATGGCTCGAATGCCTACACTGCTGCACACTACTGCTGCTGCTGCTGCCAAAGGTAGGTGCTGCTGCTGTTGCTGCTGTTGCTGCTGCTGCCGCAGTTTGTGCCTATTAGAGAAGCAATCGGAATATACAGGCACAACCAGGAAGGAAACAGTGTGGTTCAGGTGGAGGTGACAACAACAAAAGCTAACGAACTGGCAAATGAAACAAAAACAAAAGAAATCAGAGTGCTGCTAATTTGTGATGAGAAATACTAAAGGTGATTGCCCTGGTTTGATTAGCTTACCTTTCTAATAAGTTCAACTGTGATTGGCAAACAGATTGTGATTGACTGTTCTAGTTCAGATGAGCTGATTTTAAATGAACGAGGTTACTGGCGCCACAGACAAATGTCTTTTGAGCTTGTATGCTTGAAATTGTGCCGTGCATGTATGTGTGTAAACGTGCTAGCGTGAATATTTGCTTGAATCATTTGCTTGGTGTTTGGCATTTGGTGTTTGTCGTTTTTGTGTCACTCGTTAACCTAAAATCAGTTTGCCAAAGTTAACTAATTGGCTGATTTATCGTTTTCCAAAAGCATCAAGTATTGATGTTGAGGCTGAAGCTGATTGAGGTCGACGGATTTGAGGCAGCAGCAACGAGGAAAAGCAGAATGCAGTCCGCTGATGGCAACAAGGCAAACACGGCGTAGAAAAGGTAAACAAAAACAAAGCAAAGCTGAAGGTAGTGAGGACAGGCAAATGGTGCTGCTGGCACTGCTTGCCCACGGCACGGTCCCGGCGCTAATTGCGCCGTGCACTATGTAAACATGACGAATCGCTGCAACCGCCGCAAATTAGTTCAGGAGAAGGACAGGCGTTGGGGAGGAGGCGGCTACCAGCGGCTACTGGGGAGATTAGTGATTGACGGAAGAGACCAGTGCTACACAGCTGAAGTGAAGGTAATGCTGGTGGTGATGGTGATGATGGTGGTGGTGTCAATTGAAATGGCAATAAACGGGGGAAGTAGTTTCAGCGGTAGTGTTAATTAAGCAAGGCACCAAACGGACACCTGCCGCATAAAGTACACACACAGAGGCACACTTGTTACAGCGGTTTCAGAGCTAGTTGAGGGGAAGATGTGTCACAGAAAAGGTCTTCAACTCCCAACTTCTTTTTTGGCGCGATGACGTAATCGTTCTCTCTTGCTCACTTCTTTCCCCCTTTTCGTAGTGGGTATCCAATCACCTGTGAATGAAGTGTGCGGTGAGCTGCCGTTGGCGAGCTGTCAGTGTGAACAATCAGGGCGCAGCGCCCGTGTGAAGAAGAACCGTCAGCTCTTGAATCAGCACTGCCACGCTCTCTCTCTCTCCTTCTCACTCGTTTTTTGCTCCCTCGCGCACTCTATCTATCTATCTATCGCTGACTATGCTGCTTTCCTTCTATGCTGCTCATCGCCAGGCCAGGCGAAAAAGTGTCGAGGGCTGCAGCTCTTCAGTGCTGCCAGTGCAGTTGTCTGTCTGCTCACAGCGGTCGCAGGTAGGCACAGGTAGAAAGCAACAGCAGCAACAGCAGCCTTAGCCTGTGATCCTTCAGCGCGCGCTAGCTAGTCACCGAGTGCAGCAGTGGTCGTCCTTGCGCAGGCAGTGCCGCTGTTGCTGCTGCTGCTGCTGCCCACCGACCACTCACACATTTTCAGGCTTTGCCTGTGTGTTGCAAGTGGCTGTCTGGGCTACACTCCCGAACACACTGTGCACACCTAGCCTCACCTCACCTGTGTGCACATTGCTGCTGCAATGGCTCACTGCCTTTCTATGCTGCTTGATGGAGAGAGAGAGAGAGAGGGCCACGACTTGTCGAGAGTCGGCGAACAAGGTTTGCTGCAACCGATGAAACACTGCCACCACCACCACCACCCGAAACAGCATTGGCGCGCAGCACTAGTCATAAGCGAACGATCAGTTGCTAGCAGCAACGATCAAAGTGCAAAAAACTCCAGTCAGTCACAACAGATAGAGTTTGTGTGCTTATTGAGACAGGTTCAATGGAAAGGAAGGGGAAAGAAAGAGAGAGGAAAGGAGAATAAAAATGCCAAAAGCAGACAATTAGTAAAGTTTCACAAATGCCACTGGACAATTCATTGCGTGATTGTCTATTTTAATTTATTTTTTTTAAATTGGCGTACACAAGCTAAACAAAGTCCTCAAACAAGTTGTTTTTAAGCCAAAAACATTTATAAATATTACTTTACACGCGACTCCTTGGCTTCCAATTAAAAATAATTTTTCTTTTAAAATCTATTTACTTCATTTACTTTTTTTGTTGGGAAATCATGAGTTTTTTTAAGCGCAGCATCTTTTTTTGCTAACATTTTTTTAACTAAACATTGTCAAATTTTTGCAGGCTAATAAATAATTTTTTACATTTTAAACAATAATTTGTTAGTTGATTAAATGAATAATTGCGACTTTTTTGGCAATGAGCTAATGTTTTTATTTTAGTTAGTGGTAGGTAATTAAATGGCAATCATTCACAACAATGTTGTGTTAATTAATCAAACAATTAAACTTGACATCTATCATCTACTTTGAGCACTGTTGTACAAATGAATTTAGTTTAAAAAGTATTAATTTTTACGCACTTAGTTGTTTATCAACGAATCAGTTTTTTGCTTTATAATTTCATCAATCAAACTGTTTTGCTGCTTGATAAAATAGTTCATGTTTGCCGACACATCCGAAAGCAAATCTTGACTCAACTTTTTGGTGTCTGTGCCCTTGTGATAAAACTTTTTATGAAAATTTCGATCTTTGATTTTGTCTTTTGCTTTCTGTCCGGCAGTTTTCACCAATTTGATCAGCGTTTCTCGGTGTTCAGTTGTCACCTTAGGCAAACGAATGTAAATAATAGTACCATCCTGTTGAGGGTTCAGGTTAAATCCGGATTCCATTAAGGCAGTCATAGCTGGTTTCAGAGCATTCGGAGCAGCAGCCATATTGATGACTATTTCCTGTTGTTTTCGAGCAACTGTAACAATGTCAGCAAGGGCAACTTTAACACCATCATAATTGATTTCGATTCTAAAATAAATAAAATTGTTAGAATACTGAAAAATTAAAACAAAAAAATTACGTTTCAATTTGGCGGGGGTTGAGTCGCACATTGTAATTCAGTTTCAGATCGTTTTTTAACTCATCAATGATAGACTGTACTTCCAATTTGAAATCTTCAAAAGCAATAACCTTTTCCATGTCTTCATCGTCAAGTATTACTTTTGGTTTGTCACTTTTCTTTTCCTTTTTGCGGTCTTTACCTTTTGCCATGCCTCTTTTTGACTGGCGCAAGCACAGTGAGACATTTTCATTAGAGAAAACTGTTTTGAACTGAAAATCTTGAGAGTTTACAGCAGCTTTGCTGATCAGTTGTCGGCGTTGATTGAATTTACCAGTGTCCGATATGACAGAGGCAAAAACAGCATTGTTCAAATGTTTCAAACCGCGGAAAGGCCACTTGCTCCATAAAGAGATTCCCAAAGAGAAGGGAATTCTAGTTGATAGCATTGAAAACAATAAAAGTTTAAAAGTATAGATAAAATATGTGTTGTTTGTAAAAACGGCAAACAAAATTCTTGTGTGCGTGCGGTCAACAAAGACGTAAACACGTGAAAAAATGACTAGTAACACCATCTTGTGTTTTGAAATGATTTCATTAAAATTTTAAAAAAATGAACAAACAATCGTGCAGTTTAAAAACTTTTTTTAAAACAAACCAAAATTATTTTTTTGTTAACATTTAAATTATTGAAAATAAATGTACTCGTAAGTTTTGAAAAAATCTATTTTTATTATTTTTAGTAAAAATAGTCAATGAAAAATAGAAGAAAAACAGTATTTTTGGCAACATTTGCCATGAACTGTAAATAAAAGTTAGAAGCATCTTTACAAGTTTGGGATTGTTGTAATTGTGAAAATTATAAACAAAAAGCAAGGTCGTCTGGTGACATAAAAATAATAATAAGTAAACAAAACAAAAAAGTTGCGTTGTATAAAAGAGCAGTTTGAAGGCTTTGTTGTTAAGAAATGTCCAAAATAGCACCAAGTTTTTAAAAAACATAAAAAATGACGTTTTGCTTTATTGTTTTGCAAATTAAAATGATTTTGTTTTCACAATTAAAAATAAACCAAAAACATTTTTGTTTTGTTGAATAGTTTTTAAATTGATGTAAATTAAAAAAAGTTTGATTTAAAATTATTTTATTTAAAAAATTTTGTTTTTTTTTGCAAAAATAATTGAATAATTGAGTAGAGAAAAAGAAAACAAAAAAAGTGGTACAACCAAAACCATCATTTCGCCGTACAAACATTTGCGCCCTTTTAGATTAAATTGACTGTAATGAACTCAATTTTTTCATCCAATTTCAAATGAAGTTAGCCTACATTCCACCACTACTACCACCGGTTTGTCGGAATGGGCAAACAATGGAACGAAAAGAAAGAAAGAATTGGTAGGTGGTAGAACTGCAGTTAGGTGGAACGGTGTACCGAGCACGATTAAAAGAGTGAGGTGCTGCATGAGTTGAAAACCTTCTTTCTATGTGTCGGTGAGTGAGTGAGTGTGTGTGTGTGTGTGTCTGATGAGCATTGTTTGCGGGCTGAATAGAAAGAGAGAAAGCGGTAGACAATGGCTGCCACTTATTATGCTCGGTGACTATCTCCGGCGGTGGTGGTGGTGGTGGTGGGTAATCATCAACTGAACCCACTTATTTACTAGGTACTGGACGCCTCGATGATGGCGGCGGCAGTTGGCGGCGGAACGGCACCCGTACCCGCACCACCACCAACTGTGCTATTCAGATCACTGGCCGCCGAAGTCACTGAAATGGCGGCAGATTTTTTCCCAATGGTGGTAGTATTTGCAGCAGCAGCAGCAGCCTCATCTTCAACATCCAAAAGGCCATTGCTGGAAAGTGTTTTACCCGAGGATGGCAAAAGATGATCTCCTCGGGAGCTGGGATACGGCGAGGTGTAGTACTTAGTACGGCTGTTGAAAAAGTCCACCGACGGAAGGGTTTGAGGGTAGTTGGAGTTGGTATCAAAGAAAGTTGACTGCGACATCTTTGACTTGTCATCTGTCTCTGTTTTGTTGTCCTTGCTGTCGTTGTTGTTGTGAGCTGAGTTGTTGGCGAGCACTCCGTTTGACACTCGACTAGTTGGAACATCGTTGTTGTTGCTGTTGTTGTGTTCATTTTTAGACAAATGATTTTTAGATGACGCGTTTAGAGGAGACTTGTGCTCAAATCCATTGCTCGTTTCGACTGGTTTAGCCACTGGTTCTGACTGGCTGTCCTTTGCTGAACCGGCCATTTTAGAAATCTCTGAACGCGGGTTGTTAGTTTTTTCGAAACCTTCAGATGTTGACACTTTAGATGCAGTTTTGTCAGAAGAATAAGAGGAAGCGGAAGAAATAGGTCCGTTTTTGACCGCCTTCTTGTCGGCTACCTCTGAGGACGCGTTTTTATTTGCCGACTTGGCAGTCTCGCCTGTTTCCACTTCTTCTTTTCCTTTCTCGCCGTTCAGTTGTCCGGTTGTGGTGGCCAAACTCGCCGACTTTTTCAAATCGTCTAAATGTTCCATCGCATGTGTCTCGCTCTCCTTGATGGATGAGGCATCGTTGGTTGCAGTTGCATCTGATCCATCACCATTCACCGTTGTTGGTTGTGCATCACTGGCGGCCGTAACAGCAGCGGCAACAGCAGCCGCCGTGGCAGCATTTTGCGCGGCGGCCAGCGCTCTCGCCTCCTCCAGCAGAAGCTGCCTTTTGGCGGAGACAAAGGACGACTCGTAGAGAATGTCGGCGATGATGGCCGCTACGCTCTGGTCGAGAACGGGCGACATGGCGAGCGCCAGGAGGCGAGCCTCGTACTGCACAAAGAGCGGTCGATTCTCCGTCTGGCGGGAAATGTGGCGCAGCGTGGCGGCCGCCCGGCGGAGCATGTCGACGGTGGTGCCCAGCGCCAGTTCGGGCGTCTCCCTTAGCGGCTGGTAGCTGCCGCCGGTGCTGTTCACCGCGTGCAGCGCCGACTGCTCGGCGCCCTCGATGAAGCCAAGCAGTAGGGAGAGCGTGTTGAGGCCGCCGCCGTAGACGGTGCCGGTGCCGGGGCGGAGGGCGACCATCGCCCGGACGGCCATCGGCTCGCTGGCAAAGTTGGAGAGGAGGACGACGCTGAACTCGCGCATCGTCTGCTCCTCCTGCCGCCCCAGGGAGCGCACCAGCGTGAGGAGGAGCGTCTCGATGCGCGCCCAGGGCGGCGTCGCCAGCATCAGATCGACGTTCGCCTCGGCGATGGACAGTTTCGTCAGCGTCTCAAAGGCGAGCCGCCGCGGGGAGAGTGAGTAGTGCGCGGAGGGCAGCGAATCGGCGGCGTAGCTGGAGGGGCAGGTGGCCCAGTGGAGAACCCCGTCCAGCAGGGGGCGGCTGATGGCCTCGGGAAAGGGCGCCAGCCGCAGGTGGGCGCTGAGGTTGGCCACCGTCACCAGGGTGTTCTCGCGCAGGAGGTGCAGCGCGTCGCTGAACCACTCCGTCTCCTGCATGGTCTCGCTCCCCATGGCGTCGGCGCCCTTCCTCGTCAGCTCTGCCAGCGAGTGCTCGTCCAGCCCCTTGATGGCCTCCAGGTTCATCAGCGCCGGCAGGTCGCCCGGCGGTCGCCGCCGTTCGACGTGCCGGTGGTGGAGGAGAATGAGCCGCGAGAGGACGAGCAGCAGCCCGGGGTGCTTCACCATCTCCACGTCATTGCCCGGCACGAAGGTGAGGTTGCGAATGAGGTTGGAGACGGTGAGGACGCGCGCCTTGATGCTCTCGTGGTAGTCACCGCCGCTCACCAGCGGCGCCTCCTCCAGCTCGTAGGACTCGTCCTCGATTGGGGGCCGCTGCAGGCTCTGCAGGTAGCGCTCCTGGTCACAGGGGCGAATCTTTGGGTAGTGGTCACCAATGTCGGTAGTAGAGCACCTCCTTTCGGTTGTCTCATCTGTGGTTTCAGAGGTCGGCTTATCATTTTCTGCCTCCATCACCACCTTTTCCGCTGCCGAGTCGGCGCAGCTGTTGCCGTTTGTTTCCGGCGCACTTTTGGCAGCTGTTGTTTTGCCTTTTCCTCCTCCTCCTTTGATAGTTTGCACAAAACGAAGGCGGCTCTCTTTTGGCTCAAAGTGGGACACAATGTGACTAGTCGTCTCTCCGCCGCCCCTGGCCCAGTGTTCGTGGCCAATGGCAAAGCCGTTCTTAATATGGTCCCACTGCTTGTCGTAGTCGGAGATGAATAAGCTCTTTGACCGTTTGAACTTGACCGGCAAGCCGTTGCGAGTGACGTGAGTGTAGTTGGTGGTGTTGGCGAGCACCACTTGCTGAGATTTTTTCGATGACTTGAAATGCTTCTCCAAGAAAAGACCCATTTCGTCCTCATCGTCCTCTTCCTCATCACTGCCAGACTTTTCTGACTCCTCTTCATTCTCCTCCTCTTCCTCCTCCTCGTAGTCCCTAGCCAGCTCGTACCACTTGAGTTTTCTCTTCACTCCCGTTTGCAACTTCCCATCATCCCTCTTTGCACTGTACTTGCGTGTGACACTGTTAAGCTCATAGCGCAGCTGACGAGCCTCAAAGCCGATTTCCGTGTCCTCAAAAAGATTGTCAAACATCTCATTGAGGTAGCACTTGTAGTGCTCCAGCAGCACCTCCAGCAGACCGGGCATATTGTTCAGACCAAGGTACGACAGTGAGCTGTCATCGTTGGAGTAGACATTGAGCACATCCAGCGCATAGGTGGACTCAGCCAGCAGGCCCGATTTGAGGGACATGAACAGTCGCCAGGCGTCAATCGGTCCCAGAGAGGTGAACTCCCGAGAGGTGATCTTCCGGTGTTTGGTCGGCGTGGGCACCGTCGCCTCCACCGAGTTGGGCGGAAAGATGATGTCACGCCTGAGCAACGCCTGATGGGGGTGCGGCTGGCCGGCTGTCGTCGGGTGACCGACGGTGGTGGCGGCGGCGGCAAAGAGCGGCGGTCCGATTGATTGCTGAAAAACGCCCCTTCGTTCTGCCAGCTGATTGGAGAGGGCCAACTTGCCCGGGGAGGGGTGGTGGTGCATGAGGTAGGCACCACCACCACCAGCATTTCCTCCTCCTCCTGCTGACTCAGGTGGTCCTCGGTGGCCGAAGTGCTGACCGCCCATCATCCTCTGGTGGCCGAACTGCTCGTGCATGGCCGCCGCATTTCGGTACTCAGCACCGTATCGATTGTGCGCCCAGTTGGGCGGTGGTCGGCCGTTTCCGCTTC